GACGCTCTTTTTCATAACCAGAAATTGTTCACGTTTTCCTTCAGCAAAATAATCCCTGAGCAACCAAATCTGAGGATTATAACCACGTTCCGGGTGTATTACGCATCTGATCTAGGAAAGCACTTTAGCACATGTTAAACTGTAAGCACTTGTGTTTTCCCTTTGATTGCACTGGCATTACTTTCCTCCTTGTAGATACAGATGTGCCTACATGCGCTGCCTGACCGATACCTGCAACGGCTCCCTAAACCCCGTGTGGTTTATTCCACTTGGGCAACTTATAAACCCAACCAAACACATGCAAACTGAGACCAGCCCGTGGGAACCCGTGCAGGTATTGGATCACTCATGGAAATTATCCAAGCAGGAAAGCAACTCCATGTGACTCATGAAATCAACTAGCAGCGTGCACACTTCAGACGGCACTTGCTACTCCCTGAAAGCTCATTTCCTGGTCAGGATTAACATGTGCCACGCTGGCCCAAGGCTCTTCTAGACCCATAGTCTTGGTCGAACAACGGTAACAACATGTGCCAGGGTGTACGCAGGGACAGTCCCACTGCGGAGGAGTTTGAGAGCATGCAGCAAACTCACCTGAACTCTTCGGGGCTTGGAGCAGCAAAACTAAGCCTTCCCCCTACCCTGGCAGCATTCAGCACTGCACATCGCTTGCATGAGTCCTGGCAAATGATGCAAGTGATGTAAAGCCCTGAGATGCAGTGAGGTGCTTGTAACATGTAAAAGCTGCTGTCCCATATCGCCTCTGCTGTCCCGTATCGCATGAAAAAGAGGCTCTCTCACCTGTATTTGTAGCAAGGACAACGCTGGCATGGGTAAGGGCTGCAGTCATGGCAGTTTCTTCTCGTTCCTTCAGCTCCTTTCTCAGTGCCTTTATCTCGCTTAGAAAATGGCTCCGTTCTCCCTTGTCTTGAGCCTTTTTGGTTTTTGCCTGCAAAACAGAAGAATCAAGATAGGATAGACAGCCTCTAGGCCCAGGAATATGTTCAGCAGCTTCTTAGATAACCAAAGTTGTGAGATCCAGCATGGCTTCTCTATGTCCAGCACGATCCATTGGCTTATCCTAATCAGCCTCAGGAAATCTCGGGTTTTCTTCCCTCCCCGGACCAGAAAGCCCCTTCCACACCCAGTGTTGCCCGGAGCATAAAGAGTATTTCTGTCTATGCAAAAGATGGATGACACCGATATGATCACAGGCTCTGAGCGTGGAGCAGCAAAATGACAGTAGCACCGCGCATCAGCCCATTCAGGAGCTCTTGCAGGAGTAACACCATCACTCAGAAGCCAGACAGCTATTTCTCAAACTTAGTCTATGCTTAAAATCCAGCTTTTTCTCAAACTTAATCCATGCTTGAACTCCTCCTGTGCCTGCCTGCACATTTTTACAGTCCTGAACTGCGAGCGTTGATGAGCAACTCCCCAGCCTCCTTCGCCAGCGCTCCAAAGAGCAGCGGGGAGAAGACCAGACTCTTCGGTCTTTCCGACAGTCCAGCCCACGCACCTGCCAAAGCACCTTGGCACAAGCAGGAGAGGAAGGTGTAACAGCGACAAGGCGTACTGGGAAGATGGGGCCTCGTGCCTTTGCAGGGCGAGGACCTGGGACTCCCCGTGTCAGCCCGCTCCCTTGCTCGGAGGAAGCAGGGACCGTCCGGGTCCAAGTGCCCTTGAGGCAGGAGGGCTCCCTGGATTGACCGCGCTTGGCCAGCCGAAGCAGCAGCCTTGCATTTCTAAAGAGGCGTCTCTGTACATGATTCAGAGCAATATCTAGAGAGGCTCATGGCCTTTTTTTTTTTTTTTTTTAGCAACACCCATTAAAATAAGTATATCTGTAACATCGAACCGTCACCGCCGGTTGCTAGCGCTTCCCCAGCTACAGACTGGCAGCTACGCGGCGGCGGCCAAGTTACCGCTCACTGGGAAAACTCCAAGCACTCTCAAATGGCCAAAGCGCTATAATCAGATTATTTCCTTGGAGGTAAAGCTGATGATGTGAGAAACCTGAAAAGGCTGCGGACAAGGGCACGAGCAGCTGTACCAGCAAAGCGTGCTGGTTCCTACAATGAGCTTCTGTATGGATGGACTCTCTGGCGCCTAATGACACGGGTCAGCTCAGACTGCAGCCTTTCCCCTCGGAGAGACACTGATTTGTGCCCCTCTCCTCTACCCGGGCACCTGCTTTGATTAAGTCTGTAAGAATTTAAGGTCTGTGAGGCATCTCCATGTCTGTCAAGTGTAGTCAAAATTGGCAGATGGGTTCAGAGGTTACAAGGGAGGGACCACAGACAGAGAGGCAGGTAATGTGATCCCATACGTGTCTTTTCCTTTGGAACCGAGACTAAATACGCCTGCGGCTAAAGCTTGACAGCATGAAAAGCTTGATCTAAAGGGGAAGTGTGGACATCGACCCTGATTTTCATTACAGGCACAACACTGATAGCTAACCTAAAGGAATAGAGCAGACTAACGTCAACTTCTTCTCCGCTAAAAATGCAGGAAGACTAGAGAACAAGATTGCTGCTGTCAGCTGGGCCAAGTTTAATATTTGTTCTGCAAAAAGATCCAGTTAGAAAATTAATAACAGCAACCGATCTCTGATGTTTGCTGGTAGCATTAAGACCCAAACACGTGGCTCATCTCAGCTCTGGAAGCAGCTGAGGGACCCAGCAACTGGGAGCCCAGGCCGGAGCTAAAATTGCACGGCAGGATGGGTCCCAAGGAAGGTGCTAAGCCCAGCCAGCTCAAATCCCACCTGCTCCTCGTCAGGGCAGGGTGCCAGCAGGCTCTAATTGCCCTGCCCTGCCTCGTTTGGGCCCCCACCCACACACCCTTTGCCCATAGGTCCGGGAGCAGCATTTAAGGTCAGACCTTGCTCCTTGCCTGACCTAGCTGATTCACCTCCCTGGCTTTGCTGCAGCTCTGCCTCATTGCTCTGGACTTGCCTGATGGCCTGGGCTGCTGGCTGACCCTGGTTGCCATCACTGGACCTGCTCTGCCCTTCTTGCCCAGGTACTGTGGGAGCGTGCCCTTGGCAGGGAGGGTATTGCCCTGTTGTCACCCTGACCCCCTGCCCTTGCTGCTCTGGTATGCTGCCTGTAAAAACATAAGCAGCTGAATGTTCCCAAATTCTTCAAATGGGAGGACTAGCACAGTGTGAACAACACCCAGCAGCTGGTGTCCTGGAATGCTCACAGCCTAAGTAAGTGAGGGAAGGAGACAAAAAGGGTTGAAAACCATGCAAAGAGAGCATAGGTTTTAATATATATTGCTGCTGCCCCTGTGGTTGGGGCTGGTGGTGGAGGAAAAAGAGATGGTTTGAGCAGAGGGGGAGGTAGGGGATGCACTGGAGAGGAGAAATTGAGGCAGGAGAGGACATAGCCTGGCATTGCCTGTTCCTGCAGCATCTCCTCTGCTTTCCCAGTTGTACTTTGCCTCCCCAGGCTGGGCCTGGGACTGCAAGGAAGAGCCAGAGAGCTCCCTCAGCCTCATGGAGAGGCCCTGCAAAGCTGCTGGGCCTGACTGCCCCTTCCCTTTCCCCTCCCTGAGGGGGCAACCTGGGAGGCTTCAACCAGAGAGAGCCCTTGCAGCCTCACAGGGGTAAGAGATGGGCCAGGACCTGAGAGCTGAGCTCTCTGAAGCCCAGAGAGAAGAGGCGCTAGTGAGTCAGGAGCGTCTTCTGTGAAAGACCTGATCAGGCACAGCTCAAAGCATCACTGTGCAAGCTGAACTGTAGGAGCTGTGACAGCTTGTGGGCCTTTCCCTTTGGTATTTTAGGGGAACAAACCCTGGTGGCCAGGCCTAGTTTCCCACTGCCATGCACTCTCCTCTGCTCAGGAGGAAGCAGGTGGAAACCTTGCTACTGAAGGCTCTGCTTTCTCCTTAGTTTCCTTTCTATTATGGAAAATCAGTAGATCACCAGCAGGGAGAAATCTCCTCCCCCCTTTCAAAGTACCTCCCAAGCAGAGGGAAGAAAATCAATAGCTAGTGAGAGCTGCAAAATGAATTAGAAATAAGAAACTGCTTCAAGCTGTGAATACAGTCAGGTCTCCATCCCAGCAGACAGGTACATCCCCTCTATAAATCTGCCTCTCAGCTGAGTATGACCCTACCAGCCCTTGGATGCCCTTTCCTTCTCTTAACCCATTGATGGGCAAAAACCTGCAAGAACTTGTCTGTTAAGTGACTTCCCCAGCTGCTCAAATTGTAAATATGCTGGAAGACAGCAGTGGAGACAGCAGATGATGCATAGCCACCTTTGCCAAAACTTAAGCAAGCTGCTGCCATAGCAGTGGCTGAAGATTAATGTTTTATGGAGCTGGAAGCCATGTTCAGTCTGCACCATTTGAAAAGTACAAGTGCACTGCCTTATCTGAAGGGCCTATATACATATGTATATAGAAAAACAATGCTTGGGCAAGTAGGACACAACCTGGGTGCGGGGCTATGAGGATGCTCTCCAGCATCTCCAGTTAAGACAGAGGATCTCTGTCAAGCTGGATACAGCTGCAGAGCTGCTTCTGAACAATGCTGCCCCCAGAAGGGGAAGGGTGGGGGGAAATCCAATTAGCATCAGAAGCTTTTATTATCTCAAGTAGAAGAGCTACTTAAGTTTAAGAAAATTAGGCTGTGAAAGAAGAAATTAAGGATGCGCTTTTATAGCGTACTCTGCTTTCTACTTGAGGTGGTTGAGAGTGGGAGGGAGTGTCAGGACAGCCAGACTTCTAATTAGGAAGTGAATTAATGATGTGACTGTTTCTCCTCTTTGGAGAAGAGGATTGCACAAACAATGCCAGACAGATAATCTGGAGAGCAGGGCACTGCAGCATCTCCCCATGAAGCAGCAGCGATGCCAAGGATTTTGCCGCTTCAATGCAGAATGTGACTAGAAGCATTTTTGCCCTCTGCTCCCTCTACAGCAGATGGAGGCAAGTGCTGCCAGCAGGTGAATGGGGAAGCTCAGGCAGCCCTTGCAATAAAGGTGCAGTCTCTGAAACACCTTTCCAGGCTTGAAGCTTTCCCCTTTTGACTGCCGGTCTTGCACCCCAACTCCTCCCTCCAAGGCCTGCTTGGCAAGGCAAATGCCTCCCAGCCAAAATGGGGTTAAACCCAGGCCACAAATCTCCACCTATCAGTGATAGCTCCCTGCACTCTTTTTTCCTCCCCTACTGCTTCCCCTGAAGTGACTTCCTACTGCTGACTCCCTGCAACAAGAGGCTGATGCCCACCAATATTTTACCACTGCCTGTATGTAGCAAGATCTGGACTGGATGCACAAACATGAGCTCAAGGTACTGTGAGCCCATAAAGATATGGGATTCAGCCAGGGCACAAGCTGGCTGCGCACAGCCTGTGGCTCCCATCGGGCTACTTGCTTGCTTCTAGCCAATGTTTAGGGCAATCCAGAGCACCTGGTGATAGTTGGTGGCCTTTTTAGGGCACCCAAAAAGTGCTGGAACTAATTCTGATTTATAGGCAAGGTAGGCTGCCTGGCTAGCAGACTGAGTACTGCTAGAGAGCTGGCAGGCAGGTAACTCCTGCTGGTCACGGTACAGGGACACGTACGAACGCCTGGTCGATCTCCTTCCTGATATCTGCCACTATCTGAGCGCTGTCACCGCGGGCCAAGACCGCATCCAAGGCGTACTGTTGGATAGGCTCCAGGAGGCGAGCTGGGTGCCCCAGGCGCAGAATGCGGGCTTTGTAGCTGGCCAGCCTTTCCACCAGGTTATCCACTGCAACATTGGAAGGGGCACAACACAGGACCTGGGAGGGGAGAAACCGAGAGCTTGTTATTGCCAAGGAGAGCAAAGCACAGCGGCAACAGTGTCCAAGTAACAGCAGGCTTGGCAGAGCAGAGGAGGAATCTACATGCACGATTACGAGGAGTACGCCACTGACATCTGCGTAGCCTCCAGACACCAAAGGCAATGTTCACTTTGCTTTGTAGCCCTAGTGCAGGGTCTTCAGTAATGACTGGAGCTGAATTTCAAAGCTTTTATTTGCACCTAATTTCAGCTGGCAGGGAAAACTCCCCAGCTCCTGCAAGCCAGGCCAGAATCTGCAGTGCAACACAACTGGTACTGGATCTGCTTCAGCAAAGCCCAGTGAGTCTGCTAAACAAACCAATGTGGCTGCTGTCACTTCAGTCCTGCCACTGATACTCACCTTCAGGCCTTGCTGTACTGCTTGCAAGATGATCTCTACTATTGTTGTGGTCTTCCCTGTGCCAGGTGGGCCATGGATGATGGCGAGCTCTCTCTGTGCCAGCGAGAAGGAGATGGCATCCTTCTGCGATGCATCTAGGGAGTCGTTGTAGAGCTTTAAAGGCTCTGGGGAAACAGCAGGAGATTTGCTTAGGCCTCCACCCTCACTTGGGTGCTTGCTGAGAAGCACAAATCCAGGAATAAGAATAAGATGTTCTTGGTAGCTGGCTCAAATCAATTTGAGAATAACGCTTTTGGGGAGCAAGGCATGCTGTGTACTAGCTAGGTGACAAGAAGGGCAGTCTGGTGAGAGTAAGGCTCACTCTGCTTTCAGGCAAGTTACATGCAGGTAACCCACCCTGCATCCCTCCTACCCTGCCTATGCTTCAGAAGGAGCAAGTGTTTGGTTTTGATCACTGTTAGTCTATTTTGATGCTCTGCAGTGTTTAAAGAGGCACGTGCTCATCCTAATACCAACCAGTTAGGATTCCCTGGAGAGGGGAGATGCTTTGGGGTTATTTTAAAGGCAAGTCAGAATAGTTAATAATAAACATCCAATGAAAATAGAGGGGAAAGCCAGCTGATCCTCCAAATGAATCATTCTTCTGGGTAACAAAGCTAACACAGTGCTAGGGAAAGGAAAAACTGGTGTCTGAGCTGAAAAGAGCAGTCCTGTATCACTCAGTAGTAACTGAAAAGGAAGGGGGAGGGGAGAAGACAAACAGCCAGTGTAAAGGATAAACTAAAATTAGTTTGGGTTTTGATCAGAAAGGGAAAAAAGGGAAAGAATATGCAAATTTCATTACAAGCTGATAGATCTCATTGCAAAAGAGAATTCTCACAAGCCAGTTTTTAACTTGCAGGTTTACTTAATTTAAACCCATATTTATTCTCATCCTGCGTAATGCTGCTGTTAATCTCCTTGTTCATTATGGCAAGTTAATTTCAGCAGAGATGATGACTCATTACACTGAGTTTTACTGAAAATAATGTTCCTACGAAAGCTTATGTAAGACATCCCTGGGCATCCTTTGATTTATCGCTACCTTTGCATTAAGGGCTTGATCCAAAGCAGAGCAGCTTCCTCAGGTTTTGGATAGGCTAGCTGATGTGCGACTCCCATGTAACCTCAGCAAGCACCTCTGACTTTGGAAGCAATGCAACACAAGGAGGTGTCTGGGGTGGGGGGGAATAACAAAAGGGGTTAAAAGGATGTTTGGGGGAGGGAGAAATAGGACTAATGGTATCTTTTCCTGTTAGCTTGCTGCTTGCTTTATGTATATATAATTTGAGGTTAGATGGTGTGTTGGTGACTGAGAAGGCTAGCAAGCATCTATGGGCCAGGGGAAAAAAAGAAAAGCTTAACAACAGAAAGGCATTTCCCATGAGGAGCAGCTGGGGCGTAGGAGTCATTGATATTTCCTTGCTTGACAAATGAGCTCAGAAACAGGCTTCTCCACATACACTTACATTAGGTGCATACCCTCTTCCCTTCTAATCACATACTGGCAGAAGTAGCAGCGTGGGCAGGCTGGGAAATGTGGCTCTTGTCTAGGCTTGGCACACTAGTGATGGTGAGGAGGAGGGCAGAGCCTTGCCAGGGATGCTGTGGCTTCTCCAAATTCCTCATCTCCAGCAGCTGGGCTCTGAGGAGGGCCACCTGAAGGGACATGGTTTAGCCACTCTAGCAGGGCTGGGCAATTGCTCTTTATGAGCAGCCTGCTTAGGATTTGCATGGGTGGTCCCAGGAGACATCCATCAGTGCAGCATGAACTCTGCATCGTCACCTTGGGCTCTGCCAAGTTCCCTGCCCCAGGAACTGAGGCCCTTCTCTGCCAAATACCAGCAATTCAGGTGGCAGGAGTGTGTCTGAGGGTGCTGTTCAAGTCCATGAAAGGGGCCTCTGCACCAAAGATAGGTGGAATGCACCTATGAGAGAGTGGTTCCTCCTGGGAGGATGAGGTCAGGTTCCCCAGAGCTAAAGGTCTCTCATCTCAATATACCTTCCAACATATATATTCCTCACCATCTGTATAAGGGCACAAAGAGCAAACCAGACCTCCGTAATTAGCTCTTTTGCAGTATGACCTAACTACAGCCAAACACTGTTAGATTCCAGGCAACTGCGCCTGCAATGAGGAACTGTCCCTGTTCTCCCTATGAAGTATTTGGCAGCTGAGTTGTCCCAACTGCTTAGTGTTTTTTCCTCACGAATCTCAAGGGCCTCTACATGGCTCCCTTGATGACAGGAGGTATCACACAGCAGAGGGACAAGGAGCGTCTGGGATTTTGCAGGTGATTTAGCACAAGCCCAGTGCATGGGACAAGCAGCAGGGGAAGCTTTACTGTCATTCCTGGTGCTTCTCCAGTGCTGTCTGCTGGGCTGGCTTTCATGGGAACATGCCTGCCTTTTCACTGGGCTTTTTCTTTTGCTTTTTATATATGTATTTATATGTAGTCTCTCTTTAGAGCAATTAAGTAGAACTAGATTTAAGCAATGCCTTTTGCATTACATGTGATCATGCAAGTCTGGGTCTCAACACAGATTAATAACCTCTTGCTTTTTCTTGACCTGCTCCAAGATTAAGGGCTACCAGCTCTCCTACAGCACGATGCACAGGGTTAGACTTGCAATAGAGAACGCTCTGTAAGAAAAGCAAATATGTGCATCCATCCCAGCTAGCCCTGCTGTGCGCAGCAAGCAGAGCAATGCTGGCCTCTGCTGGCTAGCAAAGCCTCTCCACACATCCACCACAATGTACAGGCTCAGGGATCCCCGCATACGTGCTGCAAGACAACAGCTATAGTCAGGGAAGGATTTCTTGCAGAGATTTCCACTGTGAAAGCCTTAATGCTTCTGGGCCATGGGCACAGGTTAAAACAGAAGAGAGCAGAGTACTTACGGACAGGCTTCTGATTTTGCTTCCCACCAAGTCTGACAAGACCAGAAACCCTGTCCAGTTTAGAGCTTGCCTTTTGGAAAGCAGCTAGAGGCAGCGAGGTAAGGGTTGGAAATGCTTTGTGGTGGGGACAAATCTCATTCTCAGTTGCAGAGCCCGTCTACCTGCTGGCCACACCACCATGCTTAGACTTTGGACTGCTCTGTGGGTTATTCTGCCTGGAGCCTGTCTAGTGTTCTTCTGTTATGCCAAGGATGTTTGTTCTGGGTTGCATTTTTCAGTGTATGGCAAGGACTTAGGCTCCAACATGCGATGCTATAGGTAATGCCTCAGTCTACAAGCAATTACAGCAGCTCAGGAGGAGAGGTGAGTACAGCATTGTGTTCAGGGCACTACTTGTGGAAATATGATCCTTCTGGCCCTGCAATGGGTGTGGGGCTCTGGGAGTGCCCTGGCACTTTTTGATTTCCAGGAGGATTTCAGCTTTGTCTCTTGTGCAGGAGAGATGGCCTCCACCACTCCCCATCAGATGGGGAGCCATACGCTTTCTGAATTGACCCTGAAGTCCCTGGCTGTCCCTCACAGTTCAGCCCCTCCAAATTTTTCTCAGGCCTGGGCCCAAACATATTCCTGACTACACCCAGAAGGGCAACCTGAGCCTCTTACAGTAGTGATAGTGGGAGAGCCCACGTGCTGAGATTACCTGTTGCCTGTAAAAGTCCGTAGGATGAGAAGGCTGGTAGCAACTAATTTCAGATTTCTCAAGGTCAAAAGCCTGGAATTTTGCTTACCAGTAACTTGCAACCATCTCACAAGAGCCCTCTCCCAAACCAATCATGCTCCAGGATGTTGTCTCAGTACAAGTCATGGCTGTACCCCTTACTATTGGGAAGGAGCAGGATTTTCCAGAGACTGGAGAGCAGCTGTGTGCAGTTTTGCAGCAGCAGATGATAGTCATCTGGAGTTGGGTAAAGGGGCACTAAATTGCTGCTGTTGCTGTTATCCTTCAGTGCATAGTGGTGGCTTCTTTAGCAAGCCAATATTATACCCTGCTTAGATGCTAGCAGCCACTAACTATGTTAAGGCCCTGTTTCAACTGCCTTTAGCAGACTCCTTGTCCATCTAATCAGCTGGGGACTGGGTTTAGGCGCTCTCCTGGGACAGCAGACTTTAATACAGATCCTCCAGACACAGCATTTGGCAGCATGCTCTTGCAAGACAACCCAGGCAGCTGCAACCCAGTGGTGAGAAAATAAAAACACAGCCCAGCAGCAAAAAGCAAACAATTATAAGCTATTTATCAGACAGCAGGCCACAAAAGTCCACCAGGCGAGTGGAACCCTATCTGGGCATGCCCTGAAGAGACCCCCACATAAATAACCTTTTGAAGAAGACAGAGATGCTCTTCCCTCCAGGCTAAAAGGCTGCGTGTCAGGAAACAGCCAAGTGCAGAAAGCACCACCAAAGCAGAGGATGGCATTTGGACTCTGCTAGCTTTCCTGCTGGAAGGAGGAACTGCATCGCCCATATCTCAGTGTAACTGGTAAGCGCTCTGCATTTCAAACCTGCACTGAGTGCGGCAGCCAGGGTACTTACAGCCTGCTTTCTTGAGGACACGAAGCTTGCAGACTTGCTGTGTGGCTGTCACCCTGTCAGTCTCTACCTTCCCACCCCAGTAATGCTTGAACCTGCTGACCAATTTCAAGCCCCTTTCTGACATCTGAGAACCCATGTGAGAGCCCTGAGATTCCCAAACTTGTAAAATTAGGCTTTGCTGATCCTGCTGCTCCCCACATCACTTGCTGAGGCCTGTTTAACCCTCTGCCACCTGAAGAACACCCTTGAATATCCAGGCATGGAGTTGGGTGCTTATGATCCCTGCTGGCCCTCCTGCTTCTCAATCTCTCTGTAATTTGGCTCTTCCCCAGAGCCAAATGATTTACCCAGAATGCAGTGACAAAGACTCCCCCTCTAGAAACAGATCTCATCTACTCTGAGCTTTTCTCTTGACCTCTCTTCCTGCATGAGTGTCAGTGCAAGCTTTTTCTTTGTATGGGTGTTTAGATGGCATCACTCCTACTCCTAGTTTTCTAGGCACAGTGGAGCTTATATTGCAGCCTGGAGTGGCATTAATACAGGTCTCCTCTGTACAGACATCTAGTTTTAAGAAAATCTACAGGAACTTATTAATTCTGAGACTGATCCAGCCAAGCTGCTGAGTGCCCTCACCTCCAACTCGGTGGAAGCAGGCAACTCCAGGCACCTTGCAGGACCTATGTAGAGTCATTATTATTCAACTCCTGACTAGTATAACCTCTTTCTGGTTGGCAAGAAACAAGCTCTATAGCGAGAAGGTAAATGGAAGGAAGAAGGTAAATGGAAGGCCATTTCACCGTTTTTGGGTGATATGCTGTCTTATTGTATTGCAATTCCTCTCTAATGTGGCTGAATGTTTCTATCAATCAATATCCTCAGCACTGGGGAGAGGTAAAATTCATCTCTGCTTAGTTTGGCACATCTGGGAAATTCTGTGAAAAGGAATCTCTTCATTAGAGAGGCAGTTCTGCCACCATGGGGAAAAGGCAGAGCTGAAGCTGCTAAGGAAGATGGGTCATGAAGTTTTAATTCTTTTATCTAATATTAAAAACCTGAGTACACCAAAGTCCCTGATAGCCAAAAGGCTAAGAGGTTTGACTCAGCTTAAGCTCAGTGCTTAGAACTATGGAGGTATGACAACTAACAATTCTTCATCCTTGGTATATTGTATCAAAAATCTAGCCTGGAGGTACTCTGAAAGGGAATGGAAGTCCATATGTGAAAAAGGAGAATAGCTACATGCATCGAACCACTGTGAACAGCCAAATGCAGTAACCAAGAAAACAAAAGCGGCAACAGCAAGCCCTGAGCACAGGGAGCTGTGATAGAGGAGAAAATGAACAAGGGGCCAGCAGGGGACCGAGGATCAACACTGACCCTCCAGGTGAGCACGCAAGGGCTTTTGACTGTGCTTCAGGAGAGATCTCCCTTCTTTCTGGCTTAGACTACCTGCCTGACCTCATTAAGCAACTTATTCTACCCTCTGCCTTCATTCCTTGATTGATGAAGCCCAGATAACATCCCCTCTTTCCAGAGAAACTGCAGAGAACATTCAATTAGCAATTGCCAAGCACTTGGATATTCTGATCAGAGGCTTTAAGACAGAGGCTTTGGTTTCCCTGTGGTTCCTCTGAAGGAATAAGCTGTGTAATTTCTTCTTTCATTTTTCTAAAGCCTTGCATCAAGGAAGATCAGAGTAAAAGGGGATTCTACTTTGAGCTGTTTTTGGAACAGCTGTTGGCAAAACTCATCTGTAAGGTGGTTAAGTATTTGGTGATGAAACTAAGGCAGCCTGCACAGCTCCAACTTGACTGAACATAATCAGAAAGCTGTAAAAAAAAGTACACAGGAGTTCTTATGTAGGTTCAAACTGGCAGTCACACAATCACTTAATTCCCATGAAGGCTGAGTTAATGGATTTTCAGTATCACAGAAGCAGCCCTGGCAGTTTCTGATCTCTGAAGTTTATGGATAGCAGGGCATCCGGAAACCAAATAAGAGATGCTCCATAAACTAAACCATGTTTCAGACTCAGGAATGTGTGCAAACAAATTGTCCCACCAACAAATACTGTATGCTTTTTCGGTGTACCAAGTAAAGCTGAAATCTGACAAAGGGAGCATTAGCTATCTGAACAGGGGGGATATTTCTCCCACTAGTTCCAGTGATATCAGGGTTTTTACACCAGTAAGCATGCCCAGCCACTCACAAACCTGTAGGAAAAGCAAGTGTTCAGTGCTGCCAGCTACAATACTGCTTGTTGCTCTGGGAAAGGCCCGAGTACTGTATGCAAGTAGAGTGAGTGGCCTGCTTGGTGTGGATGAGAACTGCACAAAGATCAACCAGAGGAATCTGCATTCTCAAGGGCAGTTTCAAAGATCAGGTCATGAGCTGAGAGGCCACAAGCACCCTTCTCAGCTGGCCAGCCCCAGAGGGGGGACTTGCAGGACTGGAAGAGGGGTAATAGCATCACAGCAACTCTTAGGTCTCTGGCTCTTTGCCTCTGTCACATTTAGATGTGGCACTGGAAGAGGTGAGCATCCTTCTAATCGAGCACGGAGCCCTTACCCTGTGGGTAGGGAACTTCAGGCTTCACTGGTTGTTCTGGAGACTGAAGTTTTCCCCTTCCCCAGGATAAGTTTCCAGGATCTCTGCTCAAAACCTACATGAGGGCAGTAATATCTTCTGCTTTCACTGATACATCCACAAGAGCTTTCCACCTGCATAGCTCACAGCCTCACAAGCTAAGGCAGACCCAAAGCAGCAGCAGTCTTGGTGCCTATGTTGGGCTGTGAAGGTCCGGGGCTTGCAAAGCAGATGTGCCACGTTTGGCATGTCACAAGCTAGTAACAATCAGCAGGATGGAGGGACAGATGAATGCACTGATGGAAGGAGACCTCACAAATCTGAGCTCTGACCCTGAGGGGCCAGAAAAATTTCTCTAGGAAGAGACCAGAAAGCACCTGCCCCCAGGCTGCTATCAACTTTACTTGTTTCACTGAATGCGCTTGGAGCGGAAGAGAAGAAGAGGACATCGATCAGATCAGAGGCTGGACCACCGTGATACTGACTTAGTGCATTTAAAGCCCTGCCAAAGAAGAAAATAGCAAGGTTATAGGCACAGTATCAATTCCTTCAGAGATTTCCAAGTATGTTAAGGGCTAGAACACCATACCCCAATAACAGGACTGTGGGCACAGGTTCATCTCTTCGGAAGCTGAGGAAGTTATTCCAAAATGGATTAATCCTATTCAATTGCTGCATTCGCCATGCCTCACACACATGCCTTATGCTGGCCACACACTTCCACTTGTTGTTATTGCTTTGGTTTGAGACACTTGGACTGTGCTGAGCCTCTTCAGTGCTTTCCTTCAGCAAAAAGCTACTCTTTTCTGTCTGGATGGAAAGGGCACTGCACAGAATCCAGTGAGTACCAGAGCTGGTACAACATGGGATCAAAATACATAACTGAGGGTGAGAGAGATGGTGGGGGGGTGGGGAAGAGGGGAGGCACAGGACTATATCGATAGGAAGTAGATGAATTTATGCTGTTGTGGCACTGCAGAACAAGACACGCCTGTGAGTCAGCTCAGTAAGGGATATGAGCTCTCTCAGCAGTCAGCAGAGAGAAAGGCGCATCCAGAAGGTGGATACCTCCCCTAAGATAGAGCTGCTGCAGGACTAAGGGGAATAAGATGGGAAACAAGAGAAAGCAAGACCAGTGAAGTAAATTGAGATCAGTCTCTGAACGGCTTTCCCAAAATCGGCTCAGCAATTTTCAGTGGCCTACTGCGCCCCTAAGTGGAACGGCCCTAGGTGAGCTGCACCACCCTTGCCCTTACTTTTTCAGTCTCTTGTAGGTGACGTCGTTGGCTAGTTTCAGCAGACGGTAGGAGCCCTCTCGGTCCAAGCTCAGCATGCCATCTCGAGATTCCTCAAAGGCAACAGTCACTGATTTGGAGGTGACGCGTGTTATGATGCCAGTGGAGAGCGGATCACCCTGGCCGACTGACTCGTAAAGACCCACAATGTCACCTGCAAAGGCAAGTCGGAGGAGGGAACGTGAAGTGGGGCGACTGTTTTGAAAAGCAGCTCTTCTGAAGGGACGAGCAACTAGCATCCTCACCCAGCATAAATCAGCCCAATGGCGACAGTGGGTCCACCTACATCAACCACAGTTCTAGCTCCATGTTTCCTGCCAAGGTCAGAATTTGTCAAGCCCTTAAAGACAGGACAGTACAGGGAAGGGAATCAAAGTAGGTACAAAAAGCCATGAAATGTTTAATAACAAGAGACCAGGGCTTTGTCTTTATGGATTCAAAAAGAGGAAAGCCAGCTTTCTAACCACTGGCACCATTTCTTGTTGCAACGTACAGGCTCATAACAGGCTGGGGGGGGAGGGGGGAAGGAGGCTGTTTTTCTCTAGATTCATCCTTGAGCCATTACAATTTTTCCCCTCTCTTTGCATCAATTACTCGGTCTTTACCAATATCGCATGACAAAAATGTTAGGAAGAAGACATTGGTCATCTCTCAGTTGAGCTACTTTGCACCAACAGGAATGTCACTTACCAGGCCCAAAACTGTTAGAGGGCAGCTCAGCATCCGAACTGGGTTTTCTGGACTGAAACGTCACGAGCAGCCGCCCGTACAGGCCAGTTCTTTGGTTGGCAGCTTGGAGTTTGAGCAAGCAGACGCCCCTGCGCTGCAGCTCCTTCAGCGAGATGTTTTCCTGCCATGCCCTGGAAAACACACGCAGGCCTGACAGTCGCTTGCTGGGCTGATGCAGAGATTTGAAGTTTTAGTTGGTCCCCAGTGGGGCTGGGGGTGGCACCCTGTCCCTGCTGCCCGAGTGGGACAGGTTGGGAGTGGGTTTAGCCCTGCGGTCACCCTGCCCCCCCGGCCACATGCCCCAGTGGGTCAGGTGGGAGTAGGTTTAGGCTCGAACCCTGGGGTGGGAGGGCTCTGGGTCTGCAGCACCCTGCAGGACCTGGGGGAGGAGAAGGAGGGTCCCAGGGTGCAGGTGGGGGGGGAGTCCTGGCTCCTATAGGTGACAGCAGGCCCTAAAGGGCAGGCTGGTGGGGTTTTCTACAGGGATGAGCTGGCCCTGTAGGGGTGAGTGAGGGTGTTTCCCACGGGTGACAGTGGGTCCTATCAGGGCGAGCTGGCAAGGCTTCCTCGAGGTTACAGCAAGCCCTGCAGGTGAGAGCTGACGGGGTTTCCTACGGGCGGCAACAGCCCCTACAGGGGCAGGTCTGGCTGGATATCCTATAAGCGACAGGAAGCCCCTATAGAGCGAGTCCAGCAGGGTTTTCTATATAGGGACGAGTCAGCAGGGTCTCCTAGAGGTGACTGCACGCCCTGTGGGGGGAAAGGCCATCTGGGCTCCCCACAGGTGACAGCAGGCCCCATGGAGGGGGGGGGAGGGAGGCCCATGGTTCCCCATAGGTGATGACAGGCCCCATAGAGGTGGGGGGAGCAGGGTTCCCTATAGGTGACAGCAGGCCCCATTGAGGTGTGGATGCCCCCAGGTGACAGCAGGCCCCACAGAGGTGGGGGGGGCCCCCAGGGCTCCCCACAGGTGACAGCAGGCCCCACAGAGGTGGGCGGGGGATCCCAGGGCTCCCCACAGGTGACAGCAGGCCCCACAGAGGGGGGTGGGGGATCCCTGGGCTCCCCACAGGTGACAGCAGGCCCCATTGGGGGGG